GGGGAATTCTGGGAGTTGAAGTCCACATGTCTTAAAGTGGCCAAGGTTGAGAAACACTGCTCTATGTTATTGCATAGTTCTATCTACTTTCTCCTCTTTTCAGACTGTGTTGCCTTTATCTCCGGGCAGATGATTTGATCCATAGGAGTAGCACCATAAGCAAGAAAAACTGTTTCTGAACATAGCAGAAGAGTGGCAAGATGACTCCAAAGTCTGTCTTGCTATTTGCCTATGCAGCATTCAGAAACAAAGCAAAACAAAACAAAACAGTGAAGTAACAACAAAAATGCAGTAGAAAATCCAAAGAGAATTTTGAATGGCTTAGAATGTGGGCCTTTTAATTTTTATTTGCAAAAATGGGACATTTTAAAAGTCTCCCCTTGTATTCAGATGACAATCACATTGGTGGCATGTTAATCTCCCGAAGAAGCTATTCTAGATGGTGGGCACTGCCATGGAAAATAGTCTTTTTAGTTTCCTCAATAAGAGGAACTCTTCCGCTGTTCACAGTATGAGTCGATAGAAACAAAAACAGGTGGCCAACATATCACATTTTATAAACCCAAAAGAATTTAGCTTAATTTCAACTTATTCCATATCTGAAGTTACTTCTTACCATCATTTCTTCCTGTATTTCTCACAGTAAACCAGAGGTTAGCAGTCTGGCACCCTTAAAGCGTGTTCAACCTCTCCCCCTCCCCCAATTAATTATGTATATTTATTTTTCAAACATATTAAATGATCAAAATCTCATTAGGTCACAGGGGCATTCTTGGATGAGACTGCAGGATATCTAAGAGTTAAAGTCACTGACATTTTGCAACCATTATTAAAGGTCGTCAACCTTTATTAAAGTTATTAAAGGTTGTCAGAATAAACCATTTATAGATATGATAATTTCAGACAGAAATAATGTTTATTAAGGCATGGTGCTTTGTTTGTAAAGAAGCAACTGTAAAAGTGGACTGATGGCCTTTAATACTTTCCATTACAGCAGCTGGAATAGCTGAGTATTTTTTTTCCCAGTTGCAACTGCAACTTGGCTGTTCAGTCAAGCAAATATTTTTAGCAGAAACATGTTAAGACCTACTCCAGCTGTTCGGAGGATTTCCTTCTTCTAAGCATATAGCTTTCAGCTGAAATAAATTTCTAAAATATGGAATGTAGAATGCCAATGTAGCAGGTTGCATTTCTCTGATCAATAATTATGCTTTTTTTAAATGGGGAAAACTAATATTTTCAATGTATTTTTTCCAGTTGGACAAATAATGTATTTCTATTTTAAGACTTTTAAAAAAGTAAAAGCTGTTATGTTTCAATATTATCAGATTGCGGGGTTCTCAAACATGAAACTGTAAACCCCTAAAATGATAAAGGAACCCCTTTACAAATATAACTAATGATTTCCTTTGGAGTTCGGGTTGGGCATAAAATAAATATACTACTTTAATAATTCAATTTTAATTTATATATCCAATAAGTGACAAAAACTACAACTATAAACTAAAAGAGATTTTAAAAATCCTTTCACATGTACACTTCTACAGATGCTCCAAGGGTATATTGCTACACCCCACACTGCAGAGAAAATGGACACACAAATACGTCTGAGAAAAGCTGAACTAAATTAATGGTAGTCAATGTCAGTGGATCGCCAATATCTGATAATCAACTGTCACTCTGCAGAAATGAGAGTTTTGTCCACTTCAACAGAGTTGAAAACTGTAACCAGAAAATTCATTATGATTAATTCAGAACATATTACTAAAACTTAATCAACATTTTTGACATAATGACCATTATAATGGATTAAATAAAACATTTTGTAGAATAAGTAGATATGGAATGCAAGCTAGAGTATTGGGTAGAGAACAAGCCTACCCAATATCCTCTCAAGTGAATTAGTTTCATCAATGGAAAAAGAAATCTGGATGTAGAATGAGGAAGTGCACCTTCATATGGAATGACCTTCAAGAAATAGAAAAATATGCAGACCTACAGAGAAGGATGAATTTTAAAGCCCCTGTCATTTAGTGAAATGATTTTATAGATTGTGGCCAAATACTTCTATGTTATTCCTGAATTATACTGTCAGTATTAAGTAATACACTATTTAAATTAGGCTGTGGTCACACTATATGAAAACTCTACGTATTTTTATATTTTCTAAAGCTGTGCATACAAATTAAATAAGAATGTATACTTTTTTGGATTAATACTTTACATGTCTTTCCAATGGTCCACTCAGTCTCAGTTCAGCTTGATGGAGGAACTCTGCATGGGCTTCTTCTATTGGAATGAACAAGATGTAAGCTTACATAGGAGTTTCATGTTTGTGTGGTAATATGTAGGCAATTCAACATATGAAGGTGTTGATGTTTTAACCCTGATACACCTCACCAAAACTAATACAAACTAAAAAATAAATAAAGAGTAGAAGATGCACAAAAGAAGAAAAAATGGAAAAAATGGAAAGAGAAAAAGAAAGGTAAGAATATAGTAAAGAGAAAAACATAAAGAACATATATATAAAGAAGTGATTTCTCACCTTCATCACAAGTATAAACAGTTTTAGTAACTCATCACCTCCTCTTAAAATACAACAAATGATCCCTTCTTCCCATATCCTATCTCTTATCTATAAACAAATCCATAGAACATCGTCATTTCAGTCCTGATGTCAGCAAAAGTCCATTAAGGGTTACCAGAAATAACCCATCTATTTTAAGCATGATCAAATAAGCCAACTTTATACCCCTTCCATTTACTTCTAACCATTTTAATATTTAGTCCATTCAAATAATGTCTTAGAAAAGAAGATTTCTTTTCATTTGTTCTTTGTGTCTTCTTACAAGATTCTTCAAAACTTTAACAAGCCTCTTTTGTAAATCCACTATAGGAAAATTATCCAGGCTACTTTCTTGGTTTATTGTTTGTATCTCTCTTTTAATTATTAAAACATCAGCCAGTTTCTTTTGTATGTCCAGTATAACATCTTTTTCCATGTCATTCTTGTAGCCTGTCATTTGTAGACCCACTTTCAACTCAGTCTCAGTCTTGTCAGGTAAAACTTGTTCCTCTTCCATAACATCTTTTAAACACAGTCACTCCAAAGAGGTAGATGTCTCTGTTGACACTATTAATATTAATTTCTGAGTCCATTTTTTAAAAATATCCTTCAATATATTCAACATTAGAATATTTTGCTTCATTCTGTAACTAAGTCGAGTTTATGTGTTCTTCTCCTTTAACTGTAATCTTTAGTTCCCTCTAGTGTCCAATTTTTAAAATCTTATGATTTTTTTAAAAAAAATAAAAAGCATTTTCCCACAGGAAGGATTCTTTATAATTAATTCTGAAATCTTATTTCAAATTTATCTGGACCCTTAGTCTGTTTGTAACTTTCTAAAATCAAAGTTTTAATCACCAAGGATTCTTTATAATTAATTCTGAAATCTTATTTCAAATTTATCTGGAAAGGATTCTTTATAATTAATTCTGAAATCTTATTTCAAATTTATCTGGACCCTTAGTCTATTTGTAACTTTCTAAAATCAAAGTTTTAATCACCAAGGATTCTTTATAATTAATTCTGAAATCTTATTTCAAATTTATCTGGACCCTTAGTCTATTTGTAACTTTCTAAAATCAAAGTTTTAATCACCAAGGATTCTTTATAATTAATTCTGAAATCTTATTTCAAATTTATCTGGACCCTTAGTCTGTTTGTAACTTTCTAAAATCAAAGTTTTAATCACCTTTTAGCAGTTTATTCCAAAAAAATTTTTTTTATAATTCTTAAACTTGTAGTTAAAACTTTCTTTCACTAAGGAATGAAGGAAACTCATCCAGTGCTGTCAAACATGTTGACCCAAAGGTTCCTAATAGCTGAATAGCAGTTAACAAGCAATTTCCGAAAAGTATTAGGAAAGGAAGTGTGCAAATTTAGTGTTCTTTCAAAGGCATCGACAGCAGTTTGAGCAAGATGGCTATTCCCTCATCTCCCAGAGCTCTAAACCTGCTGGAGATTGCTGTCTTGTGTCTGCTCCTGAGGAGCAGCTGTCCTCTCCTTGTCCAAGAAGTTTCAAAGAGCTGGTCTACTTGCTGGCTCTTCATTCCGCTGCAGTTGTCAGCTTTGTAAATGTATCCACTCAATCTCAATTCAGCTTGATGGAGGAACTCTTCATGAGTTTCTTCTATTGAAATGAACAAGATGCAAGCTTACATAGGAGTTTCGTGTTTGTATTATAGTATGTAGACAATTCAAGATGAAGGTGGTGTTTCAACCATGATACACCACACCATCTCTATTATGCTCCTCTTTCAATAGGCAGGCTGTTAACTATTTTCTGGATGGGGACAAATCCCTGATAAAGATATGGGTTGCTGCTTCTAAGAGCAATGAACTGAAAGGGATTTGAATAATGACATCTGAAATATTGAAATGTAGCTGTATCTCACTGATGCATGAATTGCTTCTATATTTGGTTGTCATGCTTCTAGAATAATAGCTAAAAAGGAACTCATACATCTCTGGTGAGTCACATGAGCACCATATGCAAAGATAACTTATGGACTTCATGTCTGGAGAAATGCCTTCCCTTTGAATGATCAAACCAATGTGAAGAGCAGATGCAGAAGTCACCTGCAAATATCTGGTTCAG